CCGGACCACAGGAATCCGTCAAAGCGACCGGACGTCAGTATCTCCCATTCCTGAGTGTTAATGTTGGACAGGGTGACGAGCAAGTCGTGGGTGTGGGGATTTTTGATGAGATAGGTCGCGCTCTCCGCGTCCCGGGGCACCTGTTGAAGACGGTATAGCCGCTGCAACGAGAGACCGGTCTTGACAATGAAATCGTTGCGCGGTCGGTTCAGAGGCGTCGGGGCGCGGGTAGCCGGCCTCAGCTCCTTGGATCCGGCGAGGAGGGCGTTGAAGTAGGGCCGGTCCGCGGGGTCGAGGTTGGTCAGGATGGCAAAGCTCAGCGTCTCGTCGTCGACCTCTTGGGGTGGCGGCACAGGCGTCTCGCCCGTGCTGTTCAGCCACCTGTCGACGGCGGATCTGACCTTTTTCGATTGTCGCAGGTAGTGCTCCCTGAACTCCTCAGCAATGTCGGGGTCCAGTTGGATGGGAGAGTCGGGCCTTGGTGGCAACTCTCCCGAGACCTCGGCCGCCTTGGTGCCAATGTCCGCCAAGTCAAAGGGCGGCCACGAGGGGAGCTCAATGCGACCGCTGACCCACTCGAGCACATCTCCCCAATTGAGTCCGCGATGAGGCTCGTTGGATTTCTCGCAGATGATGCAGGAGCAGCCGTGAGGTGGCAGATCTCGAGAGAATACGTTCTCAAGCCGGTCGAGCAGGCGGCGAGCGACTGACCGGTGGCCGGTGGCTACCGCAACGGAACCTTGCTTGGAGAGCACGGTTTGATACTGGTCCAAGAGGTTGACAAACGGCGTAAACAGTGACTCGGCGCCACTGAGAGCGGAGTTGCCCTGTCTCAGGGTGCCGTTGACAAGGGGCAGCACCGAGAGAAAGTGCCTCGTAACTGGTTGCGGGAGGCCGCCGTTTTGCAGCAGGTAATCGACCCTGGGGACCTCAAGGACGTCGACGGCCGGGGGCGGGGGCGGAGGCGGCGGAGGAATGGGAGGCGGAGGATGCGTGGGCGCCTTCATGGCGGGCGTGGCGGTGCCCGAGTTGATGGTGGACGCATAGTCGTCGCCGTCGACGCCAGAGGCGGGAGTGCGCGATCGCTTCGAGTCGTTGTAGAGGTGGGGAGAGAACTGATGGGCTTGGGTCGGCGTCTTGGGGGATGAGTCCTGGGCGCTGGACGGGGAGGAGTCGACATGCAGCGGCT